GCGACCGTTCAGGCCGCAGCAGCGAGCGGCGTCAACGCAGCAACAGCAGCAGGAGTGCTAGAAGTGATACAAGTAGAAGAAGAAGTAGTAGTAGTAGCAGCAGCAGCAGCAGCAGCAGTACTAGTACTAGTTACTAGTACTAGTACTAGCACTAGTAGTAGCAGTGGTGGTAGTGGTGGTAGTGATAGTCGTAGTCGTCGTCGTGGTAGTTGTTTGTAGTTAGTAGTTGCAGTCGTAGTCGTAGTAAGTAGTATGTTGCACCCGCCACCCAGTTCGATGACTGCTACCACACCACCACCACCACCACCACCACCGCTGCTGCTGCGACCAACTCCATTAACAAGGCTAGTACGAATACTAAACGCAGGAGAACTGAACACGATCACGATGGGAGTCGCAATCGTGCGAGGCTGGCATGTAAGAGTAGAGCGAAATCACCCATAAGTTGCCAGACGAACATCACTTCATTGCACTACAGAACCACATTGGACACCCAAGCTTCGAGGCGGGACTGACACTCTTGCAGATCCTCTGTCGGAGACTCGGACACGAGTGAGTCCGACTTTTGCACCTCACCAGATTCGCCGTCATGACTGAGCTCTTGCTCGTGGCCCTGGCCCACATGGCCCTTGGGATTGCCCTGCTTTAGCATGCGGACTTGAACCGACAAGTCTTCAACCCTTGCAGCCAACTGCTGAAAGCACTCCACGGAAAGATCATAGAGATCTTCTTGGAGATGCATCGTTTGTATCATGTTGTACTTGATGAAGCGGGGAGCAGTCTTTGAATCATGCGCCCACCTGCTGAGAGGACCAATGAACTCAGCCACCTCGATTGTTCCGGACTGATCTATGTCGATCATGTGGAAGAGCTGCTCTAAGTCTTGCTCATCGATGTCCTCACACTCCAAACATCTCCAAACCCTGTCAAAGCTCTTCACCTGAACCTGACTATCTTATGAAAACGAAACTCTGCTCACACGCATTGGTGTCCATAACTCGCAGGCGGCTTTGAAAGCCCGAGTCGTGCCGTGCTCCTTCAATGAGTTCCTGTAGAGAGAGCTGCCCACTCCCATCCTTGTCGATTCTCGCAAACAGCTTGCCCAAGGCCTTTCCTCAGTTTGGGTCTTTCTGCTGCAACAGATGAATAATCAAGACAAGGTAGGAAAGGTCGCAATGCCTCCGGCACTCGCGCGCCTCAAGCACATAAGTTCCACCGTCAAACCTTTCACAGACTTTCCTGCCGAGTCACTGTCATGTTCGATTTCATCTTCCATCTCCTCGGCCAAGTTCTGGACATCGTTGAGCCGGGCGTCGGCGAAGGTGTCAACAACAACCGCAACCTGGCAGCGGCTCCCGCGGCTTCGGTGAGCCGGGCACGGGAAATCGGAAGCTTCGCACCCGGGGCATCCACTGACACTGCAACGGCCGATCCTACACCAGACTAGTGCATGCACAGTTGCAATAAGATTCAGAACTCCAAAGACCAATGTCAGTGAAGAGCCGATGAAAATCACGGCCGTCGCTGGATGCTCCTGCTGCAGCTGGACAAAGCGAAAGCTTCAAGCAGCGACTTCAAAGTCTGACCTACCTTGACCTAGATAACTTGTCAGGGCTCTGCGACCTTTGCCTCTTTACCCCCCCTGTGCCAGGAGCCTGGATCACTGGAACAGCTATCTCACCCCAGCTATCGCCAGCAATCACTGTCTTGAACAGCAGCAGATTGGCATACATCACCTTCGGAAGAAATGCGATCTGACAGGCGACTGTTCGAGACTAGTGTTCCAATCACAACACCACTTAACCAAAAGAAGGCAAGACAAACCAACAAAGCAAAGCAGCGGATGACACCGCCCTCGTGCATTGCGGATGGCAGTCGTTAAACACATCTAGGTTGGGGTCCCTGTGCATCTCTTGCACATGCGGATTGACCACCTCTACCATCCTGAGGTAGTGCGTACAGGCTCACTCCAGGACTATGCTATGTTTCACACCTTAAAAAACTGCAGCATGTTTCTCAACAGAAACCAAGCATCAGCATTGCCCACACGGTCATTACTACGAAGCACAGCAAGAAAGACCACAGCAGTGCCCTGAAGCACGTTGCCATCATCATGACAAGCTTGTGCAGTTCTCGCAAAGGTCGTATTCTTTTCCTAGGTCGTGTTGTCATGTAAGATGAAGACTCGTTGCACTGAGCCTATTTCCACATCAACAAGAATTTCCTAATGCATGCCTCAGCTTCAACAATCGCATGAGTCTGAAAATCCTTACTAGCCGCAGGGCTCGCAGCACTGCCGTGCGGAAGCCGAGGGCCCCGTCAGCCAGTGAGGAGATGAGCTTCTCCGCCCAGCCACATCCGACGATCACAACGTCCAAAATCATCATACCATCGCTCAGAAACATTCTCCAACCAAAACAAGCAGTCAGCGCAGCGACTTCAAGGGTGTAAACTACCAAGCAAAAGTCTGAGATAAAGGCGAAGATCTGTGGCGGGGTCGTCCGCTCAGCCGTTGCATCAATGTCTACCATCGTGCAGTACGCATCGATGAGTATCAAGGCAGCCATGAAATTTGCCAACCAATAGCTTTGAACAACAGCTTGAAGCCGAGCCCAATGTCGATGTGCGAGATTTTCACTGGAAGCTCGTAGGAAACTGCCAGTTATTTTGACATTTTTCTTGGAAGCTCTTTCTCGGCCGATGGTCGACGTCGGGTCCACCGAGGCAGAGGCTTCGAGATTTTCGACGGCGGCCGCTTCCATCCACGCGGTTTGCCGGAGAACTGCTGGCTCATACGCGCTTTGCACGGCATTTGAACCACTCGAATACAAGATCTGGCAACCCATGGTGAAGCTGAAGACAAAAAGTACATACCAACAACTGGACTCGTGGTACAAAAGAACAGCTCCATCAAGACAGCAGCACAAACGACTACGATTTAGGGGATTGGTTCGTTGCGAAGCTGCTCATCCCTGGCCACGAATGGACAAGCTTCCTGTGCCAACCACTTCCAAAAGGCTCTGAATGCAAAGCCTGCACATGGGGGCTCGTTTGACGCTTCTGATTTCCTGATTTGGTTCTGAAGCAGGGTGCAGGGGGGTACACCACCGCACTTCAAAAGTAAGGTCCCCTGTGAAAGGCTTTTCTGTCAGTAGGAGTTTTTGACAACAAGGTCCCTTGAAACACAGCGACATGTGCTGTGGGTCACAGCTTTTACGTTGCTGTGGAGCGGTCCGGGTTCACATGGTAAGACGAAGCTGCGGGCAAACGATCGGGGTGAAGGGTGGAGGTGGCGAGTCGCACTGCATGATACCGACTAGTTCGCAAAACACTACCCAGCAGGACGAATGCAGAACAAGCCCCAACTGCGGGAACCGGGCCGATAATCCACGGCCTTCGGCGCAAGCTGGAGGTGCTGCGAAGTGGCCAAGGTGCCAAGGCTCCCAGGCCTACGCTTTGCTTCAAGTCTAAGAGGAGACTCCGAGGAGGACGTGCTAAGTCGCTCGGTCTCTCGCTCTGCTGATCTCTGACTCTGCTTGCAGCTCGTTTTCACGCAACTCCGAGGTGCCCTCGTCTGCTCCATGTCTCACTTTCCGCTCGATCAAATCAACCCCCAGGGAAGCACGGCTGGTTATTACTTGTAGCGATCTATGAATCTGGAAGATCCTCGTTTCCTTCTCCTACAACCGAGCTTGCCAACGGCGGCTTCACACAGATGCTGCAGCTAGAAGTCGAAACATGACGAATCCTCGCACTGAGAGCAAGCACTGCAAAACGATTAACTTATCCTGACAGTGACTTTAGGAGCGTCCCCTTGCGACAAAAAGTCTCTTCGCAAGATGCGCTCCATCCCTGTTTTGTCTTTGAAGGCGACCTCTAGCCATGTCTCCCCACACATTACCGATACTCCCAAGGGTAGGCGCAACCGCCCATCCTCCCCCATGCCAACACCCGACACCTCAAAGCAGTCGGATGCGACAGCCGAGTGAATCTCGTCGAGGCTCAGGCCTGAGGGTGTGATGCGTCCACCGTCAACTGTGTCCACAATGGGCGAAACATCCAAAGAGAAGCCATCTACATGCCATTTTCGCTCCACGGACATCTGCAAAGCCGTAAGCCGCCACGTCCCTCCTTCGCTCCCCACTGTTGTCTCAACACGAATCCGGCGAGCCAGGGTCCTGTAGGTGTCTCTGCAGTTGGTTTTGTCGTCTTTGCCAGGAGGGCTGGAAGTGGCAAAAATGGTCTCAAGGCTGCACTTCCCAGCTTCCAAAACATCCAAAGCATACGTGTCAGCAGATCCAGAGACATGAAGGGCCCGCTCGAAGCGGTCCACCGAGACCCGTGTGAGCTCTGAGGATCAGCCGATTTCCGGGAGTAGCTGTAACTGCCGTCGCCGATGTGTTGAGCCGACAAGCTCTGAAACGAGAACCTCCATTCCCATCGGGCCTGCTCCCCAGTCCAACATTTCGGGTGGCACAAAGCGCTCTGGAACTGGCACATGCCTGCCTTCGGCTGAGAATTCACAACGCCAACCCGCCCATTCACCGCTTGAATGGGCTGCGAAAGCATGTAGCAGTTCCGAGTCCATGTCCATGGCTGCCGTGTCTTATGCGACAGAGAAATCTTTAGGTATGGATGGGCTTAGACGGTGCTCACGCAGTGAACAGAGACACATGTGGCTTGATTCTTTTGACTGCAAGCTTCCAAGCTGCATACCCGAAAGCATGAGTACAACGCACAGTGCAGAACCTCTGGAGCACCAATTTAATCTTGGGACCAGACGGCGCAACTTCGTTTTTTCTTGAGCGTCTGCACCATGTACGCAATCGAATTCGGGAGGAGTTCGGGAGTAGGGGCAGAACGGTATGTTTTATATGAAGATCCAGGATGTTATGGTGCATCTTCTTCTGTTCACCCCCTCCAATCACCAATCCTACTGCAAACACAGGCCTGGCATGGAAAGCCGGCTGACAGAGCAGCTGGCAAATGGGCGGGCTGACAACAGCGGAACAACAACAGCGAACATGAAACCACAAACTTGATTCAGAAATTTCGTAAGAATTACAGGGCTCGTTGTCTCCAACATGTGATCCCCGTGTTTATATTGCTGCTGTCAAAGCGATACCCCTTGAGCCCCTTGTTGCTTGGCATCAAAAACACGCCCACATCCACCACGGCTGCCTGGGTACACAAACCCCAAACTGGAACCGAAGCCCATTGACGCCCGGTTTCACAAATCACAAATTTCACGTTGGCTTTTCGCATGCGGGCAGCCTCAGGGTAGTCAATCAAGCGATTGTCCATCCAAAACAACGGCGAACGCACGCCAAATAAATCGCTGTCAAGCAAAACGCCAAACCCAGAGCCTAACCCAAACCTGTCAAAAGGCTTACAGTAGACACTCGAATCGAAAATGCGATGAGCAAGTCCACGAAGCAGGTCGCAGTTCTCTAGGTTTACACACTGCATGCAAACACAGAAGAAGTATGAGGGCTGGGGTTGCTGTGCGGTGCGGAGCGAGGTGCGCACAGAGAGAAAGGCAATGCGTGCCAGGCGTTCCCCGCGTCGTGTGTGGAGGGTGGGTGGGTGAAAAATGATTTGCAAGGCTGCCGCCCATGAAGTCATGATCATGCGTGTTTTCTAGGTTTGGGCCACGTGTTGCGATGCATAGCGATGCTTTGCACTAGTGACGCCCTACGAAAACACTGCTGACTATAAAGCATTCGCACAGCAAGCATTCTCTAGGACTACACACTGCATGCACGCACATAGGAAGCATGATGGCGCCACTTCTTTTTCCCCTGGGGTTGCTGTGCCAGTGCGGAGCGAGGCGCGTTCACAGAGAGAAGGGCAATGCGTGCCGAGCGGTGCGAGGTTGGGGTGCCGCGAAAAGTACCTGGCCAAGGAATCCGAGGGTGCTTTAGGTTGTACACGAATTTGCAACCGTTGAAGGTGGGTGAAAACAATTTTCTTTTAAGGCTGCCGCCTGTTTGGTCATGCGGGTTTCCTAGGTTTTGAGCCACAGCATTGCCATGCGTTGCAATTAGTGACAAACCAACGAACACACTGCTGATTAAAAACAATCGCACAGCGAGCGTTCTCCAGGTTGTACACGATTTTGCAACCCTACAGAACAGAAGTAAAGCGCCACTTCTTTGTTACTGCGAAAGCAGACATGTCTAGGACAGGTATGTGCAGCAACTGCATTTAATAACTTGACTATGTTGCATTTAGCCAAGATATAAGTAGAGCAAGTTCGACTGGGAAATGGAAGACATAGAAACCACATGGCAGAATTTAGTAAAGACGTATTATCTTCAGTATGCACTTAGACAAGATGCAGGACTTATAATGTAACTCCAGACCAAGAAGTTAGCCGACTTGGTCGGGATGAGCTAGTTAACATAGCTAAGTATAGCCAATCTACTAAGCAAGTTCGAATAACACTGAAAAAGTAGCTGTTCTGCTCTCTGGCAGCACTTTTAAAAAGATGTTCATCAGGCAGCGCAGTTTAGATTTTCTTGATCGTTTGCAGATGATGTATCTTTGGTTGAAGCAAGAAACCGTGTCGAATGTTGTTGTTGATCGTTCGATTCTGCTTTGCTTGCTCGTTGGCAGCATATATGCGCCTTGCAGGGCAGTGTTGCTGTTGTTGTTTGTTGGTTGGAAATTTTGAGAGGATATGTTGGCATTGAGCAGATGGAGCAGCCAAGGATCTGCATGCCATGCATGAGCATGAAGCATGCACCTCTGCATGTTCTGCAGAGCTTCCAACTGATCAAACAGTTTCTGTGTCTTCCTCCGCTTGCAACAACAGCCATGGTCTTGACTTTGGAGGTCAAGCAACAGATCGATGCTCTCGTCAGCCACACACAGGGCGGGGATTTCCTGGTGAAGGTTGTGCAAGTGTAGAAAACAGCGGCTTCGTTATCTAGCCTAAGGTGCCCGCTTTTCAGTCAACCCACACCCAGACTCGAGTAACATTAAAAGGCTAAGTAAGTCATCGGCAGGCAAAGAGAGGGGTTCTGAAAGCAGAAACAGTCTGTCGGAGTGTGGCTCGATGTAAGAGCCCTCAAGTGCGCCTTCAAACCGTTATCCCAATCTGGAAGCCACTATCCGAAGCAATAAGCTCTGATCGAAAATAAATACTCTGAGAGCTTGGTTTAAACCTGACTCTGCCATAAACTCTTCCTAAGCCTTACAGCCTTTTCCGAGGCACACCTTCCGCCTTCTAGGGGAATAGTAACTGCCAAACTCTGGCTCAAGGTTCCAGTTTAATCCGGGTTCAAGGTTGGGCAACCCCAACCTTAGCCCATACTGGGGCGGTTTGAGGTTCGGTTTACCCAAAACCCAAAAAACAAGCTGCATAATGTTAGAATGGTTTGGCAAATGAAAATGCGTTTGTTGAAACCAGGTACAGATAGTTTCTCACAGATTCCGTTCCAAAGCAAGTACACGCAATTTCAATTCGGTGACATAGATCTAAATTCAGTCTTTCTGTTGCTGTCTGTCTTCACGATTGTCTGGGTTTCCGGCATGTTTGCCGTTCAAATTCCGTGCCGTCCACAAATCTGCTTTCTGGGTCAAATTGTCAAGATTTTTGCCAAGTGATGAAGAGATGTCCAGAGTCGAAAAAGCTCATGCTCCACGCAAATGTGAGGCTGTCATTCCCGTATGCACACGTTGAAGCTGCCTTAGCGGCTTGCTGACAAGAAAGAAATTGTGTTTTTTAATTTTTTTGCGCTTTTTCGCTTCAAGCAATAAAGTGCTTTCCAAAAAGGGTGCAAAAGTGGGACAAAAAAAAAAAATCGGAAAAAAAACCCATTAAAAGCCTGCCAGTAAGATTCTATTGCAAGGCCACCAACTCAGATCACAACCCTGTCGATTCTATTCGGAAGTGACCTCATAGCTCGATTCGACTCAAAACTGCATCGGGTCCGAGCTCTCGGCGAATTCTAGGCCCGAAAATCGAACAGAGTGCAGTCTGGTGGAGATGCTTCGTTCCGCTTCGTTCCACTCCGCATATCTACCAGACTCTACTCTGTTCAAGTTCCTCTCTCTCAGATTTCGGGCCCAGAATTCGCTGAGAGCTGTGCTCTGCTCGGACTCGAAACTGGACTACGTTGCAGTTTTGAGTCGA